ATTAACAGGTGGACGTGTTTTTTTGTTTCATGTTTGGTTTTGTAATTTTTGCTAAAAATGAACAATTAGGCTATGAAACTGAAATATTTTTCTGTTTACATATAATAAATCACTTTAATCTTGTAGAAACACGACTAAAAACGTGAACGTTTTCTTGAGAAGTAAACAACTTTTTAAACGTTTGTTTGCAATTTTGCAAATGTTTTACAGTTGATTCAGTTGACAGTGTATAAAAAAATTTAAAAATATTGTTTCGTAGCTATTTTTTGGTCTAGTGATATTCATATCATATGTAGAATTGCTGTATAGACTCGCAAGTGATTTGGCACTCAAAACGAAGTATTATTCAACGCTTTTTTCCATTAGGAACCTCTCAGAAATAGCTTTATTTTTAAAAAAAGCATGGTACACTTTGATCATGCAGTTGCGTGGGATAGTTCACGTACTTGTCCCGCGAACATCCCGCACGGAACTGTAGGGAGCCTCCTTAATACATGATTAAAACGCCTATTTTCCAAATTTGGGGGACACCCTTACGCTGTACCCTGTCAACTTATAATTTTCCCTATTGAAAAGTCTCTGCACGATTTTTTTTTTCAAACATTTCTGGTGCGCGAATTTTTTTTTCTCTTTCCCTGCTCGATTTTTATTTTTGCTCCCCCCCCCTCCCCCATCACTTTTCTAATGGTCCGCCCCTAACAATAATGTTTCAACCTTGTGTCGTCAACCTTGTAACATTCTTGCTATATCATGAATGTATCAAACTTGTTAGAACAACCTTGTAAGAAGTCTGATAATGCCATCAAGCTTGTTACAAGTTGTTAACAGTTTGTTTCAAACATGTTACAACAACTGGGAACAAGCAGTGCGACCAGAGCAGTGCGACTGTGCGTTTTTACGTGTGTAGTTTTTAGAATTCAGTCACGCGATTAACAGTGGCGTGCTGGCAGGGGGGGCCGGGGGGCCATGGCCCCCCCAGCTGGCAATTCTTGGGGGGCGCAAAAATGAAAAGGGGGCGCCGTCCCGTGCGGAATTTTGAAAGTGGGTGGGAAAAACACATTTGAAAAACTTGTTACTTCCGTCAAGAAGTATATATTTATATTGGCTTATAAACAGATCGAGACTAAGCGCATAGACGACAAAGTGATATATTAAATTACAGACTATTTGGTCTAACCGTATTTGCTAATTTGCTACTTCACGGCTCACACAAAATCGTTCATATAGAAACATGATCAGTGATCACACACAATGTCTCATTACCGGAATATTGGTCAGGTTTCAAAGCGATCACGGGAATTATGCCCTTTTTTGCTGGTATTATGCCCTTATATTATGAAGGTATTATGCTTCACGAATCACGAGAGCGGCGCAAATTAGATAGTTATGATAATGTAAGTTGTGTACGCAATTTAGTTGTTTGTGCAAGAAACATCATGACTCATGAGTAATATAAGTGATAAGATAATTCTGAAACGCGCCCTTTTGGCAGTCAAGCAAGGTAACCTTAAAGTGCATATGCGTGGGTCCGTGTGTTATTGTATAAAAGAGCTGTATGTTGTAAATGTATTCAGATCACCAGATCAGTAGAGATAGAATTGGGATTAGATTAATCGCTGGAACTGAGTTAGCATTGCCCAATTTAAGTACTACTACTAAATTCTAACCAAATTGCAAATTTCAACACGTTATAATGCTGTTTCCTGACCATCAGATTTCTGTCAAACCTTCCCCCCAAAGTCCAGGAAATGGCATTTCAGAGACCCTAAATTCAAAAATTTTCCCGACCCCCCTAGAGAAACCTCGCACCGTGGCGCTCGGCTCGTGCCTTCGACACTCGTATATCAAGCGTTACAATATAGGGGCGCATATTGGTTGAAAGCCCACCGGCCCCCCCAGAAAATTAGTACCCAGCACGCCACTGGTCCAACGCCAGACGATTTTTAATACTCAGTCAGTGGTAGAGTACTGTCAATAAATGGGTTGACAAGGATAACAATAATAGGATGTTTCTGAACTAATCTGAAGGACTCGTTCAACACCCTGTAGTTTGCCAGTTTGCTGTCAAAGGCAGCATTACTGCCCTGTGGGTAACCTAGTTTATTTTGTGTCTGTGAGTCTTTGTGGTTTACTTGAGTGGGGGCAGTTAAACAATGGGAAATGACCAGCCTGCTTTGCGCGCAGTGTTTGCCTGCGAACGGGTCTTTTGGAACCGAAAATTGGGCTGGAGCACGCTTCACGTTCTTTTCAACTTTTGACTTTTTGACAAGCGTATGTTAAAGTGCCACTGCGATGGAAAATTGTGCGGTCTTTTTATTGTATATTCAGAAAGTATGTCTGTAGATAAACAAAATTACCAAATATCAGCGTCCAATTCCATTTCCTTCTGCCTTTTTTTTCAACGCAAACAT